CCTTCACTGCCCCCGCCGTCTTCAGAATATGACGTCATCTGCCGTCACCGTCGAGCTCAACGAGGCTTACCGTAATCGCTCCGGCCTGAAGCTGCTACATAATTTCTTCAATGGATTAACTGTGAATAGCTTCCCAGAGACATTAGCTGTGACTATGCAAACCGCTTTTGACCAGCGTTTCAGGGACGTCGTAATGGTCTATGGTACCTCGACGACCTCGTTGAGCTCGTACCGTGAACCATGTTTCCGTGGGAAAATCTTCTGATGTCGTCGGTGTAGAAGGCTGTTGTGTAGCTTGTTGATAGATTATAACGTGCTCTTCAATGTTTGGTTTCGCAACGCGTAAATAATTCCGTTTTGAATGTGGAGTGAAGTGTCTCTATTTTTTGGCCACTCCTGTAGTTCCCAAGATGGGTTAATTAAAGGAAAACTCCGGGATAAAACGAGGGACTCACCTGTTCGAGTATGAAGAGCTGGGTGCTAAGTTGATCGAAGGTAATGAAAAAAGCAGGAAATACCTCCAAAGAACTCCAAAATTAGAAATTCCTCTTCGTTAGTCGCTTACGAACCAGGGCTGGGAAAATTACGTGTTTGGACATGTCTACAGCAACTGTTGGCTTTGTGCCATCAACCGACACGGCCACAAAAAGTCAGCAATGAAAACTGATTTTTCTAGTTTCCCTATTTTTTCTATTTTTCTGTGCTTTTTTGTTTGCTTCCTATCTTAAAATTTTTCTTCTCACTAGAATGATGACAACGTTCTCGAAAATGGTCGTAACATAGGCTTTGATGTTGATTTTCGCAGTTGAAATCCGCTAAATATTCCCCTACGACTTTCCAAACAACGGCTTAACATCTAGCGTTCCAGGTGGTTGTTTGGAAGATCACGTAGGACAGTGGGCGGGCTCAATGGGGTTGGGGCGGCGCCAATGCTCCAACCTAGGCTCCTAGCGCCTAAACCTTGTCAAATCGCCCCGCCACTTCTGCACATGGTCTGCCCTTGCGTACTGCTGCATATTTGACGGGGAAAACCTAAATTTCGCCAGAAATCCCGGAATTTGCCTTTAATATGTGGCCCATTGCGTACTTCGTACCATAGCCCATTTGGTTCTCCCAAGTGCTCGTTAAATGTCCACTTGGTTGGTTTTTCGAAGGTTTGCTCCTTCTGGAAGATCAATTCCATGCCTGGAGTTAGGTGCGCTACAATAAGTGACCACGGGAAGGAATATAGAAGGTCTCAGTTTTCAACGATTGCTCGAAACTACTTGTGAACAGGGAACCAATAGTTTCCTTGGATATTTCAAAATGTTCACGCGGCTTCATGTTTGCCCTTGAGAAAGGTGGTGTTGTTACTATCTCGGCTCATCCCAGGGTGAATATCGGTCGAGGAAATTCTCGACAGGGGGTCGAGAATTTCCTCGACCGATATTCACCCTGGGTCGTACCTGTCGGGCTGGGTCATGGGGGGTCGTACTCTTGGGGGTCAGTAACAGCAGTGGTATCGTGGTGCAGATAGGTAAGAGGGTATAGCGCAGCAGAAAATGAAAACACCTTCGAATCGATTCTGCAACTTCGAGTGAGGTCGGATGCATGGCCTATACTCAGACAAAATTCGATGATGACGATTGCCCCTATTGCTTATGTTGGGAGGATGTTTTCTAGACCCATTTCAAGCGTTGCCAACAATTACACTTGCAATGGTGAAGGAGGGAGCGGATTTTCAGGTGGCCGGATCCGTCCTCGATACATACTCGACGCAGATATCTTCTCAACTAGGGAATGTAGAAGAAAGCTGAAAAAAATATCAGAAATCTTCTGCTTTCC